ATTCCTCTAATAATTAGTGATGTTGAACATTTTTTCATGTGTTTGGCCATCTGTGTGTCTTCTTTGGAGAAATGTCTATTTAGGTCTTCTGCCCATTTTTGGATTGGGTTTTTTTTTTTTGATATTGAGCTGCATGAGCTGTTTGTATGTTTTGGAGATTAATCCTTTGTCCATTGCTTCGTTTGCAAATATTTTCTCCCAGTTGTCTTTTCGTCTTGTATATAGTTTCCTTTGCTGTGCAAAAGCTTTTAAGTCCCATTTGTTTATTTTTGTTTCTGTTACTATAGGAGGTGGGTCAAAAAAGATCTTGCTGTGGTTTTTTTATGTCAAGGAGTGTTATGCCTATGTTTTTCTCTAAGAGTTTGATAATGTCTGGCCTTACATTTAGGTCTTTAATCCATTTTGAGTTTATTTTTGTGTATGGTGTTAGGAAGTATTCTAATTTCATTCTTTTACATGAAGCTGTCTGGTTTTCCCAGCACCAATTATCGAAGAGGCTGTCTTTTCTCCATTGTATATTCTGGCCTTCTTTGTCATAGATTAGGTGACCATTGGTATGTGGTTTTATCTCTGGGCTTTCTATCCTGTTCCATTGATCTGTATTTCTGTTTTTGTGTCAGTACCATATTGTCTTGATTACTGTAGCTTTGTAGTAGAATCTGAAGTCAGGGAGCCTGATTCCTCCAGCTCCTTTTTTATTTTTTCTCAAGATTGCTTTTGCTATTCGAGGTCTTTTGTGTTTCCATACAAATTGTAAAATTTTTGGTTCTAGTTCTGTGAAAAATGCCATTGGTAATTTGATAGGGATTGCACTGAATCTGTAGATTGCTATAGGTAGTATAGTCATTTTCACAATATTGATTCTTCCAATCCAAGAACGTGGTATATCTCTCCATCTATTTGTTTCGTCTTTGATTTCTTTCATCAGTATCTTATATTTTTCTGCATGCAGGTCTTTTGCCTCCTTAAGTAGGTTTATTCCTAGGTATTTTATTCTTTTTGTTGCAGTGGTAAATGGTATTGTTTCCTTAATTTCTCTTTCTGATCTTTCATTGTTGGTGTATAGGAATGATTCCTTTTCATAGCTTCAGCCCACTTTTTTAGTTTGATTTTTTTCACCGACTCTGAGTTACGTATGCACACAGTGAACATGCAAAGCTTATTATAAAAAGTTCTTTCCTTGTTCTCCAGAGGCAGCTACTTTTGGCTGCTTTAGATGTTTCCTTTAGAGCTTACATCTAGATCATTAAATAATGCACTTATAATACTTTTAGATTTTAGTTTAAGGTATTATTCATTGACTTATTACAATGATTTATATCTCTCTCTTATCTCCCCCAGCCCACCTGCATGTACACACTTAGTCTCTCCCTTCCCTCTATCAGTGCAATATAGTTGAGCCAATAGTCTTGGTTGGAATCATACTGTATCTACCCTACCATGAGCAACCTTCACAGCCCAGCCATATCATTACTTTCACAACTTGCTTTCTTTGGAGTTAGTTTTATTTCTTTTGTTGACATTAATTTTCAGTGTACTTAACTTTCCGAACTAATTATATCTTCTCTCAGTATATTCAAATACTAGACAAATTCTATCAATTTTTATCAAAGACTTTTTTAGCCTTCTGATCTACTTTATTCAGACTAGTTCCTGGCTTGGTCTGGTGCATAGCTTTTATCCTTGTAATGACCTTTATCATCACTAGGATGACTTTTTCCCCACCTCCTCTGGAAGCTTTCAGTCTTCTATGGCTGTTAGTATTCTGAAATTTTATGATGTTTCTTGATGAAGTTCTGTTCTTAACCTATTTGATGGACTTTTTTAATCTGAAGATTTATGTCTTTCAGTTTAAGAAAAATAGTTGGATTTCATTTCTTTTTTGTGTCTTTGTTTTTACATAATATAACTTTATTCATATGAAATATCAAAAATAGACAAATTCATAGCAGCAAAGTGAATTTGTGGTTGCTGGGGGCCAAAAGTTGGGGCAATGATCTTCTGTTTTCTCTTAAACTCTCATTGGGATTTAGACTTCCCTATCTGTTCTATGCCTTTTTTTTTTTTTTTTTTTTTTTTTTTTTTTACTTTATAGGAAATTGCCTCAGCTTGCTTTATTTTCCAGCACTTCTACTGAAATTTTTATTTCTAGTTCTTTTTTAAGAGTACATTGTTACTCTGCTGCCCTATTATTTTAATTTTTTTTTTATTTTATGTGAGTTTTAAAGGTTACTTTACATTTACAGTTATTACAAAATCTTGGCTGTATTCCCCATGTTGTACAATACATCCTTGAGCCTGTCTTACACCCTGTTTGTACCTCCCACTCTTCCACCCCTATATTGCCCCTCCCCCTTCCCACTGGTAACCACTAGTTTGTTCTCTTATCTGTGAGTCTGCTGCTTTTTTGTTATATTCACTAGTTGTATTTTTTAGATTCCACATATAAGTGATATCATACAGTATTTGTCTCTCTGTCTGACTTATTTCACTTAGGCTAATGCCCTCCAAGTCCGTCGATATTGATGCAGATGGCAGAAATTCATTTGTTTTTATGACTGAGTAGTATTCCACTGTGTGTTTGTGTGTGTGTGTGTGTGTATGTATACACACACACACCACATCTTCTTTATCCATTCATCTGTTGACAGACACTTAGGTTGCTTCCATTGTAAATAATGCTCCTATGAACACTGGGGTGCATATACCTTTTCAAATTAGTGTTTTCGTTTCTTTTGGATATATACTCAGGAGTGGAATTGCTGGGTTATATAGTAGTTTTAATTTTTTGAGAAACTCTGTATGGTTTTCTACAGTGGTTGCACCAACTTACATTTCCCACCAGCAGTGTTCCCTTTTCTCTACATCCTCACCTCTACACCCTAACATTTGTTATTTGTGTTCTTTCTGATGATAGCCATTCTTACAGGTGTGAGATGAAATCTCATTGTGGTTTTGATTTGCATTTCCCTGTTGATTTAGCAGTGTTGAACATCTTTTCATGTGCCTATTGGCCATCTGCATTTTTTCTTTGGAAAATATGTCTATTCAGTTCTGCCCATTTTTTAAATCTCGGTTTGGTTTTTTTTTGATGTTGAGTGGTATAAGCTGTTTATATATGTTGGATATTAACCCCTTATTGGTCATATCATTTACAAATATCTTCTCCCATTCAGTAGGCTGTAATTTTATTGATGGTTTCCTTTGCTGTGCAAAAAGCTGTTAAGTTTAATTAGGCCCCACTTGTTTATTTTTACTTTTATTTCCTTTAGGAGATGGATCAAAAAAAAATATTGCTATGATTTTATGTCCAAGAGTGTTCTTACTAGCATCCTATTCTTGTTTCATGAGTGTAAGTTCTTCTTACCTCTGTGAAGGTAATGAAGTTTTCATTTGTCATTTTATTTTTCTGTTCAAATAGACTTTTGTATTTGTTATCTTGGTCTCTGACTTTTTAAATCAGGTTTCTTCAGGTATATTAAAGTTAGTAAAAAGCTGCTTGAAACTCATGCAGGGAAGTGGGACTTGTCACTTGTGGCATTTGCTGAAGGGGAACCTTGCCATGGTATTGTTTGAGGAACCTTTATGTAAGTATCTTTAGTCTTTGTTCTGGTCAGAGTCCATGAAGAAGGCTCTTACAGTTAACTGCCTGAAGAGAGTATAAGCCTAGTGAGAGAAGACCACTGAATGCAAAAGGTGATGGGTCTCAAGCTTTAGTATATAAAACTTGATTAAATCCTGTGCTGATTGCTATCAGTTTTAGTCTCTGCCTAACTTCCAAGAGGTACAGGGGTGACTACATGGAATGTGAAAAGAATCTGGAGGTCAAATTCCTTTTTAAACTGAGTTTCAGGTATCTCTATTTTAAGTCCCACTTGTACCCCCAATTATAGAGATTTTTGGTGCCACCAATTTGAGTTTTTTGAGAGGTTCTATGAAATCATGTTGATTCCATTTTCTACACTGTGGCTGATCATTCAGTTTTTCTAGGCTCTGAATTATTCTTCTAGGTTCCAAACTTTGTTACTATCATATCCTTTTTTTTCTCTTTGTACTTGATGGCTGCAAGAGCCTTCTGAAAATTTTGTTTACTTTTGCATTTTAATATTTCAGCAGGGAGCAGATGTGAATGTATGTGTTCAATCTGACATAGTTAACCTGGAAGTCTTTTTCTTATCCATATATAACAATTCTTTTAAAATTATGAAGACTAACCCTTTGTCATGAGTTCTAAGGTTTCTTTTTATTGTCCATCACTTCTCTATTTAAGTTTTTTTCTGCTATGTAGACATCTTTTAATTGTATGTAGTCGTTTTTCCCAATCATTATCCTTATGATTTCTAGATTTTTTTTTTTAAGCGTCTCCCTCACATTGAAGTTAAACAGATAAAGCATAAAACGTTAGAAATTCTTCTGAATCCTCATTGTGCAGTGGTGAAGAGTTTCTAACTTTATTAGCGAAAAACTGGATATATCTCAGATGTCCAACAATAAGAGGCTAGTTGATTAAATTATGTTTATACAAAGGAGTACTTAGCAGCTATAAAAAGGGGATGAGGAATTTTTTATGTACTGCTATAGAATTATCAGAATATATGAAGTAAAAAACAAAACAGAAGAATGTTTATAGAATGCTACCTTTTGTATAGTAGGATGGAATATGAATAAATACATTTGCTTTTTCAAAAGGGAATGATAAAAGAATAAGCTAAAAAGTAATAGTTTTAGGGGAGGGGAAGAAGTATATGGATCAGGAGGTATCGGTATGAGACATCTGGGATTATTCCTTGATTGTACCTAGGTTTAACTTAGGAATCATGTATCTGTTTCATATACTAAATGTTAAAGTTAAAAAGTAGAATTAAAAAAAAATTCAAACAAATGGAAATAAGTGAACTTAACTACCAAACAGTCAAGTTAGTGATATACCCATGCAGAGAAAAGCAGTTCAGTCAGATTAGGTCACTTGAAGTACATTGCTTTTAGGTATTATCTTTTAGTCCTACAGGTGCTCATATAATTGCCCAGTTTTCGAAAAAAGTTCTTAATGAAGATATTTCTATTTTTCCTGGATCGGAAATGTTTCCTGCGGTTAAAGGAGCTTTTACTTCTGTGTGTCGTCAAATATATGGTACATGTGAAGGCTTGCAGGTTTTAATTCCTTATAGTTTGCATGAATCTATAGCAAAGGCATGGAAGAAGGTAAGTATTTTCAAACTTTTTTTCTTCTCTTCAAATCTTTATTTCAAATACGGTCACTATTGTAATATCATACTACAGTTAAAATATTTTACTGGAGCAAATATGACGACTTTAGCACCACAGTAGTCCAGGGGACATAATGCTTTCTTATTTGGTACAACATGACTTCAGTACATCCTCTCCCCATAGCACAAAGCTCTACGATCTAACTGGGCACTACAAAGTCTTCTGAAAGGAGAGCCTTTGAATAAATTGTGTCTGCATAGACTGACCCTTTGGAAGTTATTTCTGAGCAGTTTTTACAGATAGCTGGGTTTTTATTGCATACACTGGAGATCATAAAGTAGCAACAGTCAAATATAGTATATATGACATATAGTATATGTCAATATCTTCCCCCCACCCCATTTATATGCTTCATTTATGAAATACTTTACATTATAGTTAAGAATCAAATAACTTAAAATTTGCAGGTAATTTAATTTTTAATTACATTGAGTCAAATATAAAAATGTTGCATGAGAGCTTAGGAATAACACTCAGTAAAAAAAAAAAAATGTAAATTTGTTATATTTTAGACAAGTTTGCTATCAGAAAGAATTCCTACTCCAGTACAGGGTTCTGATTCTGTTTCTTCGAAAAGCCAGGAATCCCAGAACATGTAAGTAAATCTGTTTTTTCACATTTGCTGAAATAATTTCAAAATGAGAAATGTAATAGAATACTGTGGCAAAACATTTTATAGGAAGCTAGACGTATATATATAATATTTATAGGTTCTAGGAAAAGTACACCTAGGAGGAACCTTAGCAATCATATATACTTGTACCTTTTAAAAGAAGAAAAAATAGCAATATTTATTATACTTCAACCTGTATTTACATTTTGGGTTAGGAAATGTGACGTGTTGTAGTGTTTCCAGAAAACTTGGAGAATTACCAAATACTAAAATTGGAAATTCAGTAGAAGTAGAGTGTTTTCAAATGCCAGTGAAGTCCATTTACATTTAAACTATAACTTTCCAAAATGTGTGGGGTACATTTTAGATTTTGGCATTGGAGAATTATTTAAATCAGTATTTATAGTAATTTTTTAATTTAGATGTTTCCATGTTGTTTTCACAAATATCAGTAGGATATGGAGTCAGATTAATGGGGAATATATATATATATATATATATATATATATATTTTTTTTTTTTTTTTCTAAATTAAGATCTGGTGATGTATTCCTGGAGTCTCTTTTTAATTGAGGGTTGGCATAATCTACAAAGATAATTAGAACTTTAAGTGATGTTTAGTTAAGAGAAATTTAAAAAGTCACCATTTTTCTTTAGGTAGGCATAGTTTAACTCAAAATCAAACAAAGCCTTTTACATTTCCTTAATGATGTAATCGTTCAACAAATAGTTAATTTTCTAAAAATCAGTTATAGTTTTTTTTTCTAATCTAGTTGTGAAACTTAAATCAACTGCCATCTTTTTCTTTGCATGAGGGGGTGAGTAAAAATGTTGCTGCAATTCATTTCTCAGGTAATTTCTAGGTCTATAACTCTATGATTTATCGTTTTCATTCATGCGTTCATTTTCTACTCATTCATTCAGCCATTTATTGGACCAAGTACTTTGCTGAGTTCTGAGTATACCTATATACATTAGAGAACTTATTGTGTAGTGTAAAATACAAATAAGTTAATACAGTGCGGCAATGTAGCATGCTAAATTTATGATAGGGGTCATTCAGGGTCCTTTGGGAGCTAACTTGGGGAAATCTTTCCCCAAGAAGCAGTTATTAAATTAAGTTAAAATGGATACATGGATATTAACTGTCTAAAAAGGGGAGAACATTATTTCAGGTGGAAGAGATAGTGTGGTCAACAGACTAGCAGTGAGAGAGAACATAGTCAATGTATTTAACATGTTTTACTGTCAGTAATATTTTTAGATTCTGATGTTAGAGTCTGAGGGAACTAATAAATTATATGTCACTCCTTCTCTCCTATGTTGTGAACCAATTAATAGAGATAAAGAAGTCAAGGAAATCAAAACAGTGAATAACATAGGCTTCCCAAGATCAGAAGAATTAGACAGATTTACCCTTCTTTCACTATCAGCAGTGGATAGGCTTCCATCACCCCCAGAGGCAGAGCTTACAAATATCAAACTTAACTATGTAGTAGAACCAAGCAGACTGTGTGCTTCCTACAGGTAGCTGGGTCACAAAGAAGTGGTGGACTGGGGGAGAGGCATTGCCTAGCCAATCATGCTTAGGTCATCCTACAGATTTCCTGAGTCCCTTCTTCAGTGGGGAGGAGTGAGTGATTAGGTGGAGAGAGGCAAGCAGTGTTAAACTGGGGAATGTGTTCCATGTGTAAACTTGATGCTAGAGGAAAAGGAGGTTCCTTCAGTATCTGATATTACTGTCTTAGAAACAAAGGTTTAATAGTTTTTGATAAAATAGAACTGTTTTCATTTTTGTCATCAAAATCAAATGGAGTTGTTGAGTACCTTCTGCATTGATTGAAAAGTTGGTATGAGATGGGCATTATTTGTTCCATTGTAGTTTGGTAAAACTTGAGCATAAAATCATTTTGGCCAGTTAACTAGACTAGCTTGTCTCTAGCATGTAGCAGGTGCTTGATAGCTTGGTTGAATTAGTGAATGAATAACACTTCTCCTACCACCAGGCACTAGTTTCTAAATAAGGACAGACTGAGATCTTAGTCTTACTGAGTAGGGTAAAATGAAGAGTAAGTTGTTATAATCTATATTTTTGAGCCTCTGACAAGCTAATGTTAGTTATTTTGATCTTACTTTCTGACAGTACATGTTGGAGATTTCCTCTGCATCCTTTAATTTATTGGTGCTTACAATACTACAGAGAAGATAGATGCTGCTTTGTAGTCATCATAGGGTATGTCTTAAATCTAGACTTTGAAATGCAACCCCAGATGAAATTTCTACGAGGCTAGTTTGATATCGGTGATTGCAGTGACTGCAAATTACTTAGGGGCCATCCTTAGGGTGACGGTAGAGAAGAATGTAATCACAAAAAAACCAATGATGCCCAACCTGCCCCAACCAATTACCAAGGGACCTTTGGTAAAACTAGAGGTTGAAGTAACAGGGGAATCTTTGATCTGCCAAAACTTTTAGGCTATGATCCCAAAGAAATAAACACCTAAAGCTTAATTGCCATGAGAGTGTCTATACTATACATTCTATAATATCTAACCATTCAAAAAATGGAGTTCTCATAAGCTAATAAAGCAGTGTGATCGTTGCCTATTGTCCTAGTGGGGAGGGCTCTCCAAGGATGATAAACAAATTCAGTAGCTTAGATCTTCCTTCTGTTTTGAAACATTGAGTGTCTTCACTATAATTTGAAGGGAGAATTAAATGCTAGGTTAATAGGAGAAACGATAAACTAAAGTATATTAACTTTCTCAGAATTATATGACACAACCTGTAAGTTTTTTTTTTTTTTTTTTTTAAATAATACACAATGTATTTATTTATTTATTTATGGCTGTGCTGGGTCTTCATTTCTGTGCATGGGCTTTCTCTAGTTGTGGCAAGTGGGGGTCACTCTTCATTGCGGTGCGCAGGCCTCTCACTATCGCGGCCTCTGTTGTTGCGGAGCACAGGCTCCAGATGCGCAGGCTCAGTAATTGTGGCTCACGGGCCCAGTTGCTCCATGGCATGTGGGATCTTCCCAGACCAGGGCTCGAACCTGTGTCGTCTGCATTGGCAGGCAGATTCTCAACCACTGCGCCACCAGGGAAGCCCCCAACCTGTAAGTTTTTTGCCTGTGTTTTTACTTGGGGGGAGTCAGGGTAGACTTTTTAAAAACAATTTCTTTAATGGCTAATAGTTCATTCAAGGTTTTTATTTCTGCTTGAGTGACTTTTGCTATATTTTCTTAAAAACATATTTTTTTAATCAATATTTACTTTTTTGGTGTTAATTTGTACAAAGTATTTTTGTGATTTTTAAAAAAATTCTTTAGCTGTGGTTATTTCTCATTTTTTGATTCTTAGTATTTTTTTGCTGCCCCCCTCACCAATTAATTTTCATTAGTTTATGAAAAGACAAGTTTTTGATTTTGCTAATGTTCTC